AACATCATCATATACTTAAAAATAGCCAATACGGCACAGTAGCTTCACAAGTTCAAAATGTTACAATATTTTTAATTGAATTTTTATACTGATTAGTGTTTATATTACTATTATTTTTGTTGTTAAAATCGCTTATTCCTGTAATATATTTATTTTTAAATAAATGTGGATATACATGTCTGTTTACTCTTTAATATAAATATTATAAAACTATGAATAAAACAATTCACCTACGTAAATTAAAAATGATGATTAACTGCAGATTTTTAACATTAACATATCATTTAAAACAAAATATTATTAACCGTTGGGACATATTATAATATGAATCATAAATATTAAAAAGATAAGGTTTTTATATTTTACAGTGTATACTGTACTGTAAACTTACAKTGTACTTGCTTTCGTAAGTATACTGTTAATTTGCTTAGATTCTCTGAGAAATAAATTTACTTTTTTATAAAAAAAATATTTAGTTGTATTAACGTGTAGGTAGGACCTATGTACTTATACATTTATTTTAAATTATGCAATAATACACTGAAATAGGTTAGATATTATTTTTTTAATACGCAATATAGGCGCATGCAAACGGCGTTTCTTGTATTCAAATATTAGAGCAATTTATAACATTATTTCGTTGCAGTACCTGATTTTTATTTGATAAGTGTACGTGCCGTTTTTATTATACGATTAAGAAAGATTTTGGTACCTTAGCATCATCATAAACAATGTACAAATATACAATAATTATGAAGAATCCACCTTGTAGATGATTGTATAGTTCATTAAAATGATTAAAGTATTTTTTTCAGTTAAAACTAGTAAGTTTAAGTTATAATATGTTTTGCAGTTTTAAAGCCGTTGTATAAAATACCAGTGTATTTACTCAGGCATGAACACATATTTTTTGATCAGGAGAAAAATATCCGATATCCATGTTTTTAGCAAATATTAAAAAAAAAAAAATTAGATAAATCCTAAATTAATTTATAATATATATATATAAATATATACTATACATATATACTGATCATACATGATATATATCATGGTATATTAACAATTTGAAAAAATAAAAATAAATTATTGCCACCACATTCAGTATTAAAAAATGTCTATACCTGTTTAAATACGCTCTATAAAATTGATAATGCTAAATGTATTGGTAAGTATTGTCTATAAGTGGCGGTCGTATACGATTTTAAAGGTTAATTCCTAAAAAGGAAAATATACCTATACGTTGCGACAACCGAATTACGTATTCCCATAACACGTTCGACTTCTGTCAACGGTTTGTCTGCGACGATTCCTCATTACGTCCGCTGCGTTAGAATTATTTTAGTTCATACCTATAAATTGGATGGCGTTTTATTAAATTACATTAAATATAATTATAACAGACTCTGAAGTAGGTAACTAAGAGTATTTAATAAATTGTAATATAAAGGTAATTGTCGACAAATAATGGCAATAAAATACAAAATATTAATATTTGTAATTCAGTATAGACTTATGAAAATTCATTGTAAATCAAAAAATATTTTAAAGAGTAGACTTTTTAGTTCGCGAACCAATGAATATTATATAATTATATACCAATATAGTTTATCATTTGGTTTTCATCAGGTTTTTCACAATATTGTATTAATAAATATTTATGATGTTATACAAACTATTTCATACAACAATTCTGTATAGGTACTCACTACCTATACTAATATTTTATCTTAGATTGACACAAAATTGAAAATTGTAGACATGTTCAATAATTATTATGTGGCAAAATGTTATATGTATCCTTATAAGTAGTATTAAACAACCTTGTGTATTGAATTAATTAAATAAATTTTATGATGTCAATCATTTATTAGTTTTATGTACATTATAAGAAATGTAACTATATATATATATATATATACACACTCTTACCTATATATTGTTCATAAATACATTTATGTATAATTAATACTTACGAATTGATTTCTATTTTTCCATACTTTTACATAATTTTTTTTTTTTCATTTTAATTATCTACTCGTAAATTATTTAAGCGAATGGACACTGTAGTCTAGTACCTACTATGGGTTTATCTAATATTAATATTAATCAATCACTGATGATTGGTTATTTAATATATTATATAGGTATATCATACATGAATGGTACTAACAACGAATATTCATCTGCAAATGCGTATTTATTATACACATGTAATCCTTGGGCTTATAATTACATAAATACTTCCAAAGATTTTTAGTTGCAGCTATTTCGTTTACATATAGATATTTAATAATTTTGAATGAGATTTTTAATATGATACACTAAAAGTTATCCTATATAGTTTTGTCTATTGCATTTTTTTTCACTAGAGAATTTTTATTTATAGGTGGCAAGTATGTCTACTATCTTTAACGTATTAATAAATTAATTCAATAGGTTTAACATGTGCAGTACTAAAATCTGATGAAATAATAACAGTACCTAACTTTATTAAGTTTTGGCAGTGTTGGGTTAGTCGATTCATATTTTGAAATAGGTATCTATAATGTATAAATGTATAATGTATAAGTTTCTTTTTAACTGATTGGTTAGACACCTAATTGGTGATTTATGGGTATTTTAAAACGTAAATAGTATAAATAAAAGTAAACTGCACTTTTATTAACAGCGACTTGCTATTATCAAATTTTACTAAACTTAGCTTATTATTTAAATTTAAGAACATTACACTTCATCAAGATTTATTTGTATGATAATAAAATGTATTGTTTCTTGATTTGTAACCAACATATGCTACTGCATATTGTAAGAATTTTGATTAAATATTAAATGAAGTAGTCTTCATCATTCGTTAATTGCTAAAAATAATATTTTTTTAATGATTTTAATATAATTTATTATGTGATTAGGTCTTCCATTAATTACGTTTTGAAAAAAAAACTCATCATTTTGGTTTAAAATACAAGCCTAATATAAATGTTATTGTGTTTTTAAAATTATTAAAAAAATGATGAATTAGTATCTTAAATTTATGTTAATCAATATTGTTCAGTGAGTTTTTCTCGATTAAGGTATTAGAATATAATATAGAAATAGTATAATCCATGTTACATAGATACTATTACCGTATAGTTATGTGTGGTATTTTGCACGGTGTCATTTTAAGGAGCCYGTTTATGGGCATTTTTTGTGACATTGAGACAAATTACATTACCTACTGGAAATATATATATATATATATTTGTTATTAAAGGAGCATTTAAATATTTTAAGTATAATTTTAGTAATTAAATTCCCTAAATACCTAATTAAAAATACTTTTTAAAACAGTTTTCCTTTTTTGTCTCAGTAAATTATTATATACCATTATTACATAATTGTAGGCACCCACCTAAATTATTTTTAGTTAGTAATTATGTTTGTATTTACTTAAAACAGAAGGGAGTTGACAAAAATAACCATAATTCAACATTTATAAGTGGTTTTACGTTTTTATTACCTACAGCCTTTATTATTTTTCTTAATTATATTGTTAATAATTTATGACTATACAAAACTTACTTTAAAAAAAGCTATGCTCCTTAAATATAGGCTATAACTTAAGACGAATTTTGAATAATGATAAATTAAATTGCAAAAAAAATGTGTATTAATCGAGACATTTTAAGTTTATAYTTAAGATATTTTATAACTTTACAATAAATATGTGGATTTGTTTAATTATACCTAAATATTAATTTATTATAAAATATATTGTTAATACCTATAATTAAAATTGTTGTTAATTTTTATGCTGAAACGCATTTGAAGTACCTATAGGTTGAAAATAAATAATGTTTTTTTTTAACTATTTATATGAACCTACCAATAGTATCTATGCAATGCATAATAAATAAATACATTTTTTCTAATTAGAAAATTAATAATTTATACTCAGTGTCATTAAAAGAAAATATAATGGTAATATAGAACATTTTAATTACACGATTATATAATATGTCAATATGTGGAGGGAGGCCAGTGATGGGACTTAACGTGAGTTTAATACATATTAAGCAGTATCTAAGCAAACAAAAACTTTTAATATTACCATGGTAAAATAATTTCAGAATATATTTTATAATATATAATATAGGTACACTCATAGGTAACAGTTTGTAACAAGGCAATAAATAGCTGTATAAATAAATAAATAGATGTACGATAAAATAAAAAAAAATTATAACTGGGAAAATAATTGTAACTTTGTTATTTTCTATCTGTGTACGTTATTCAATGCATTTTAATTTTTATAAATAGAAATTGACTAGGTTCTGAACATAACTGTGAGTATTTTCTGATATTATTAATTGAAGTCCATAGATTAAAAACTGTTTTCCAAAATATAACATACATAATATTCAAACATAAATTGGATATTTTATCTATTTTAAATAATGGCTTTCATTATAAACTTTAGTTTCATAATTTGTATGAGATTTAATTAATAATTACTACTGTTTTGACATTGTATCCAGAATAATTAATAGCTATTTCTATACAATTAAAAACAAAATTGGAAGTAATCTTTATATAATTATATACATTAAGTATATAATACCTATTTATCATTATAGGTGTTTAGGTATATTGTGTATTTGTTATAGGTCTACACAATTGTTTTTTAAATGCTTACCTTACTTATTTATAACAGATACTAAATAGGAATTTACCTATAATATATATAATATATATTATACATCTATTGTCGAATGGAAATTTAAATAATTTGATTTAATTTTTTTAGGTAATAATTATGGCTTTTCAATATTAATATTTGTATTGCATAAGAGTAAAAAACATCCAATTCCTAAATAGATAATAATTTCATATTATAAAATATGGCAAATACTCGCAGGTTGCACATGTATACCTTCGTCTAATTTATATTATAGGTACACAGCTGCAGGCCTGCTACACCGGAATAAATATAAATACAATTAATGCCTTGTAATTACCTGGTCAAGGCGCTCGAAGTCTGCACAGGAGATGGTGGTCGCGTGGAGACGAAAATGCGGAAAATCGTCTCAAAACTATTGCAGTGCAGTGGTTGATGACTGTACTTGGCGGGCAGGTACGGCTGCTGTTTAGGTTTATCGTCGATTTTACATCACCCGTAGCAYCCGTGTGTTTCTTATATAGTACAATATTATTGTTATTATCTTAAAACGAAATCGAATTTACCGGGCGATACGTGTGCGCGTGCTCGTGCGGGCGCCGATGTGTTAAATTAATAATGGTAATAATAGTAATAATTATTGATATTATTTTGTAATCCGTAGGTGCGCGCGCGACCTCTTGAATCTGACTGGAGCGCCACTGCACTGCCGAGACCTGATGACCGGACAGACGGGCGTATGGTGAACGGATGCCGCGGCGGAGTTATTCGTCGTCATCGTGGTCGGTCGACGGCGGATCGTTGGCTGCCGACCGGCTCGAGGTGGGGGTAAAACGGAAAAATGGCGTCGGCCGTCCGGGCGCCGCCCACCTGGGCGCGGTGGCGACGGCGGCGTCGAGAAGGGGCGACCTCGGTAGCGCGCACGCACACCAATGGACGACGACCGGCGGTGGCGGCGACAGTGGTTGAGACTGCGCTTCGTGTGTGGTCTTTTCGCCGCCGCGGCATTCTATTATACGTCCGTCCGTCGGTGTGTGCACTCCGCTCTCTCCGTCGCACACAACACTTGTACATAATAAATTGTATAATATAAAAGAAAAAAATAAATAACATCCGTCTCCCTTTCACTCGCCGCGTCGTCTCGCTCGCTCTCATACAACGCAACCATCATCATTATATACATATACACACACACACGCTCGCGCGCACGTTATAGCTGCAGTGAATACTATTCAGTCCTCCTGTCGTTTAGCCGCTGTCGTGGTTGCTGTGCTATCTATTAAAGCTATATTTATATATTAAGTATAATGTAATAATATCATATTATTCTCCCCCCCCCCGAGTACCTATAATATATAAATATATATATACCTACCTATAATATAGGCACTCGTAYCTATATATTATTTTGAATCGTTTTTTTTGGATTTCTGTTTAATGTGCGCACACACAGATATAGGTACTTCAGCTATATATTTCAGATTACGACTGTATAGGACATATGACTACACGCGTGATCACACAAGTATAGGTAGGTACCTAGGTACGCACTTGCAAACGATCGCCGCGGACCGACTAGCATTAACCACATCGCTGCGATACTCGAGTCCTCAACAGCCACGCAAACGTATTAAAAAATAAAAACACGCATCACTGTGGCATTGCACCTCCATCGTCTTGATGTTCATTATTATATTTTTTACTAATATATTCACACACACACGTGGGAGCGCCCGACCGTTTTTACATAAATAATGCATTGTTATAGATACTAAAGGTACACGCATGGAAATCTAGCTGTAGTTATTTTAACTACAATAAGGGCAATGTTATACACATTTGAACGTCGTTTTTGCGCTAAGGATCAATTGCGGTTGTTTTAACATTAATTTAAAATTGAAAGTTACATAGTACCTATACCTAATACGCCAGTTTAATACCTATTAATTGCTAGTGAAATAACACCGAATTATATTAAAACAACTTAATTCTATTGAAAATAAAAATATTATGTGCACCCAACGAAATATCTTGTTGAAATTAAAAAAAAGTTAGGTTGAATCGATAAAACGTTCATTAATATACGGTAAACAAACCGTTAATTGATAATACAAACTATTTGTGGTTATATCAATAAATTTCTTTTGTACTTTTTTCTATGAACAAATTATTAGCATCGATAAAATAATTGTTGATATTACAAACCGAGATTTTTGATATTTATTTGATCAACAAACCGTTAATTGATGTTACAAGCCACCTGTGGTTGGATCAATAAACATCTTAATTACTTTTTTAATAACGAAAAAATATTTATTAATATCAATAAAATAATTGTTGATATTACAAACCGAGATTTTTGATATTTATTTGATCAACAAACCGTTAATTGATGTTACAAGCCACCTGTGGTTGGATCAATAAACATCTTAATTACTTTTTTAATAACGAAAAAATATTTATTAATATCAATAAAATAATTGTTGATATTACAAATAGAGATTTTTTATATTTATACTGCCAACATAAACCATTAATTGATATTACAAACCAACTGCAGTGGTTGGATCAATACATTTCTTTATTACTTTTTTACAATGAATAAAATATTAGCATTAATAAAATGGTATTATTGGTATTACAAACCATTATTATTACCTACTCACTTACAAATAGGTAGTCACAATGTCACATCAACAAATTTGCTTGTTACCTCAACTTTAAATGCAGGGGAAACGTAGGAATTATTGAAAATTAAAACTATTGTTATCGTAGATAATGAAAAAGAAATTGTTTTATTAAACAGTAGTTCAATATAATTCATAAATATAGATTCAAAAAAGTTAAAAACAATTAATAGGTTTAAAAATTAAAATGATAAAAAAAAAAAAAATTATACAAATATTTCCTTGTAGGTAAAAACACAAAAAAAAATATTGTTTTATTAAAACAGTAGTTAAATATAATACATAAATATAAAAACAATAAATAGGTTTAAAAATTAAAATGATTTTAAGAAAACTGATACTAAAATTGTCTTGTACCTACTAAGTAGTAAGTACTAAATATATATAAGAAAAAAATATTGTTTTATTAAAACAKTAGTTAAATATAATACATAAATATAAAAACAATAAATAGGTTTAAAAATTTAAATGATTTTAAAAAAACTGATACCAAAATTATTTTGTACCTTCTAAGTACTTAAATATACATAAGAAAAAAATATTTTTTTATTAAAACAGCAGTTAAAATTAAATGCATAAATGTGTAAAAACAATAAATAGGTAAAGGAAATAAGTTAAGTCAATTTGATGATTTTTAAATGACGGGAAGGGAAAGTCGACCATTATAGCGGCACCCCGAGATAGTAAATCGTAAATAGGTAATAATATACGTATGATATATATATATATATATAGGTACTTACCGAAAGATGAGTTTTTTCTTATACAAACTTGAATTAATATAGTTATATACGTAAGACGTGAACACTGAAAATTAATTTCTTACACTAAGGTCGGAGTCTCGGAGGTCTAAAACTGCAATGAATACAAAACAAGAATTGCACTTTTGTATTTGCACTGCGAATACCGGCACATTACCAAAGTCCGAAACAAAGAAAAATAATTTCGACGAGTTCCTAGTATACCTAATATACAATAATGTATGTAAACGAAGAAAATAGGAAATTCCCGTGACTCGTATACAACGAAGATATTAACATGGTTGATTTAACTATAAGAAATATTTAGTGTACATATTTATTTGGTCAATTTAACTATAAGTTAATAACTAAAACTACATTGTATTTTTCACCAAACAGGCATAGTTATAATTAGGGATGAGAAGTTATAGGATTTGCATATTTTTTTCTATAGGTATCTCCTATATTTATAGCTAGGTGAGCTAAAAATCTGTTCTATWACCTAATGAATTGAAATTTGCATATTGATGTTTTTTTTRTGTATAAAAATGTATATTTATTAAAATCATTTATTATTTTATTGAATTTTATAAGTTTGTAGTCAATAATCAATAACATTCTACATATAACAAAAATATTATTTCGAATAATCGTCGGAGATTGGATGTCGAAAATATTAAAACACTTTGGTGGTTCAATGCAACAAATTTACAGGTAAGGTTAGGTTAGGTTAAAAATTKTATTTTTATTTTTTTAGATTAAATCACCTTAGCTGACTATTAATATATAATCAATACACCCACCAATCATTTATTACCTAGTATTAATTTTTTATCACTCAGTTAAAAATTATTTATATTTCAATAGAATCAAATTTAACGAAATATTATTTATATTCATTTATTGTAAACATGTTTTTATATTTATAGAAAAAATTGCATATTATAATATATTTTTTGCATATTTTCAAATTTCGATGCATATATCATAATTTTTCCTTGCATATTTACATGCATATTTTCAAAATATTATTTTGTCTATTTTAGCTCCTATAAGTTCTCATCCCTAGTGATAACTAATATATTATAGTAATATAAACTATAATATTTTTAACCATTTACCATACCAAAATTATTTTTTTCCGTGTGTAAAAAAGGTGCTCAGAACATATATACAAATATATTATAGGCATTACTTCTGTATTTTAAATAACATTTAATATTTGTTAAAGTAAATATTCAATTAAATTCAGTCAAACAAACATAAGGAAGTCAATAAAACCAAAACATTAAATWATAAAAAAATTATTTTAAAATAAGATACCTTGCCAAAACAGGAGTGGATTCAAAGGAGGTGATAAGGGGCTTAGCCCTCCCCCCACGGTACCCACCGTTTTTCCCGAATCGAAATTCCCGAATACTATTTTGCCCGAAAGTCCGAAAATCTGAAACCTGTTTTCCCRAACACCTTTTTCCCGACGATTATTGTTCCCGAAATTAAAAATTTAAAAATTTAGTTATTACTGGTGTATTTTCTATGTATTATATTTTATACCTATATAAAGCCGGATTCCCACGACTGGTGTACATAGCCAATATTTGGTACTGGTGGTTACTTGCCAGGCCGTCGGATCGCCATACTTGTACAATTATTTGTCACTGGTGTCGTTCCCGGTGATTGTCGGTAAATGTGACACAAGTCAAAGGAACGGCCTATATACTTGTACTACTGATCCCACGACCGGTTCGTGTTGACCAGGAAAAACAGCAGCATGATAACTTTGGTCCAGTGGTGCCAAAGTTTATAGGTATTAATAATACAAAATACAAACTACAAACACATACATTGTGTAATATAATCATTTTTTTAACGATATTTTTACGTCATTTATATTTTTTTTTTAAATTGTTAATGTTTATATTGAGATCGATAGTTGATAAATTAGCATTGTTCTATAGAAATGTACGTAGGTACTATATACTTTATATGATACCTACTCACCCATACTTACTTTTTATATTCTGAGCGGAGCGATGAATGTATTGATTTTACCATAATGTGTGTTTCAATTTTTAATTTTTTTTTTTGTGTCTGTCATCACGTTTCGGGGCAGTAACAGTGCTTCAATTTTCGACGTTCTTTATCTCGTTCAATCAGAAAGTGAATCTAGTTGGTACTTTAGGTGGTCAAAAGTAAAAAATTCTTAATATTATTCTAAATAATCGAGATAAACAAACTAAAAATTAAGGGAAAAACGGGAAATTTTACGCACAATCAGTTTTCGACAAAATCAATTTTGGTTTTTGAT